GAGCCTGTGTGTGTGTGTGTGTGTGTGTGTGTGTTAGAGATGAACGAACTGCCATCCGGCAGCACTTTGAGGACTGTGGCAAAGTGGAGGCCGTACGACTGGTGCGGGACCAGGACTCTGGATTCGGGAAAGGATTCGGCTACGTCCTGTTTGAGGTACGGCGACCCGGGCGGCGCCTTTTCCTGTTCCAGCTCCTCTTCTCTCGATGTCACGGCGGGTTTCACGTGAGACTTTCTCTGTCGGTCTCTCCGCTGCAGAGCTCCGACTCCGTGCAGCTGGCGCTGGAACTGGACGGCACAAAACTGGACGGCAGACCCCTCCGGGTGAGGAGGGCGGAGAAACAGACGAATAAAGGTGGCGGCAGGAGGAGGAGCGGCAAGGGCCCCGTGAAGGGCCCCGTGAAGGGCCCCGTGAAGGGCCCCGTGAAGGGCCCCGTGTCCCGTCAGGAGAGAGCAGGCCGGAAGAATTTCACCGGAAACCAGCAGAATCCGACCAAGAGCTCCACCTCGTTCAGAGGAGAGATGGTGGATCCGAACAAAAAGAGCCAAAAGAAAGTACTGAAGAAGAAGAAGAGGCCGAAGCCCAAAAAGAGAGTTCATATCTGATATGCGATCTACATCTCGTAGAAACAGAAAAGGTGTGAGGACGAATGAAAAGTCAAAGGATGAACCAAAAGGAATGAATGACCATCGTTGATGTGGATTCGTGCCACGTGCGCATTTGGAGAGGTTACGTCCGCACAACTAAAGACACAATCCAGAGGACAGACGAGTCATTTCAGCTCTAGATGTTTTTCTGATTGACTCACATTTAATTGTTCACTTGACGTATGAATTTTGTGTCGACCTTCGGATACAAAAAAATAACATTAGTCGCTGACTGCTTGTCATGCTAAGCTAAGCTAACCGCATTCTGCCTCTTAGCTTCATATTTAACACGGATGTGCTAGTTATTGATCTTCTCTTCTGTAACTTTGTGAGAAAATCAATAAACACGTTTCTTTATATGTTGTTGTTATTATTATTGATGCTGCGTTCACATTTTAATAAAAATGCTTAAAACCTGTAAGTTCACTGGAACAAGTAACTAAGCAGTTTAAATTGAATCTGAGCTAAAAGGTATGACAGTATTTTATGAAAATGTTCAGTTATGAAAACCTCACTGCAGCCACCAAGTGACACCTACAGTTTAACTGCATTTCATAACATTTTCACCTTTTAATGAGTTCAGATTAATTAAACGAACGTAAGTGACTCATGTCCTCAGAAGACTCTGAGCTGCGTATGAGAGGGACACCAGGGACAAATATTATGAGGCTCACGTGACTGACTGGAGGCAAAAAGCATCACGACTCCAGCAGTCAGCATGAATCAGAGGAGGAAACAAACCTCACCAGCTGATGACGCTCCAGTAGGAGGCGGAGCTACACGGAGGGGCGGAGCTTCCACGTCACTGTCCAGAAATGAAAGTTCGTTGGTCAGAGAGGCAGACGCGCTGCAGTGAAGACAAGTCTCCGTGTTTCTCTGAGAGAAAAGTCAAAGTGACGTCATCAGGTGTTCCTCAGCAACACAGCAGAGTCTCTTCAGAACACTGGTGAGTACAGCTGGTCACATTTACACCTTCAACAAGCAGGAAGAACACGCAACTTGTACTTTACTCAGGCAGGAAGTTCCTCTCTGTTCACTTCCTACTTGATAGAATGTTAACAATAAAACCACGTGTGTTTATCCACAGTCCCACGATACAGTAACTCAGTCTAACAGCTTCAAACTGTCCAGGACTTCAGTCACTTGGAGCTGAATCTCTGTGCTTTAAACTTTAGTGTCTCTCTGTTTCCTGATCCCTTCCTCTGTTTCCTCTTGGTGCGTCACGTTAAACGTGTTCCACAGCGAACCTGCTGGAGGCTTTTAGTGTGAGTCATCTAAATGAGACGCTACGTGTTTGAACGTTGTTCTTCTCTTCCACAACATGTGTAGACATGGCTTCTGCAAACTATGGTCCATCTGAAGATCAGTTCCTGTGCTCCATCTGTCTGGATGTGTTCACTGATCCAGTCACCACATCATGTGGACACAACTTCTGCATGAACTGCATCAATGAACACTGGAACACCAGCGACCAGAACCTGTGTCCAATGTGTAAGAAGGACTTCATCACCAGACCTGATTTGAGGGTCAACACCTTCATCTCTGAGATGGTTGTTCAGTTCAGACAGTCTGCTCAGCAGAAAGCCAGCAGCAGCAGCTCAGAGCAACAAGAGTCCAAACCAGGAGAAGTTCCCTGTGACGTCTGCACTGGAACCAAAGTGAAGGCCCTCAAGTCCTGCCTGGTGTGTGTGGCCTCCTACTGTGAGACTCACCTGGAGCCTCATCTGACTATGTCAGGCCTGAAGAGACATCAGCTGATGGACCCTGTGGAGAACCTGGAAGGCAGGATGTGTACGAAGCACGATAAACCTCTGGAGCTGTTCTGTAAGAGCGACCAGACGTGTGTCTGCATGCTCTGCAGTGTTTTAGACCACAAGATGCATGATGTTGTTCCTCTGAAAGAAGAATATGAAGAAAAGAAGGTTGAGCTGAAGAAGACAGAGGCTGAAATTCAGCAGATGATCCAGAAGAGAAGACTGAAGATTCAGGCGATCAAACACTCGGTCGACCTCAGTGAGGAAGATGCAGGCAGAGAGAAAGCAGAAAGTGTTCAGGTCTTCACTGATCTGATGGAGTCTGTTGAAAGAGGCTTGAAGGAGCTCCTCAAAACCATAGAAGAGAAGCAGGAAACCACAAAGAAACAGGCTGAAGCTTTCATCAGAGAGCTGGAAGAGGAAATCTCTGAGCTGATGAAGAGGAGCGCTGAGGTGGAGCAGCTGTCTCTCTCTGAAGACCACCTCCATATTCTCCAGTCCTCAAACATCCATCAGCCACCACCCACCAAGGACTGGACAGAGGTCAGTGTTTGTCCTTCATATGAGGGGACTGTGGTGAGAGCTGTGTCTCAGCTGGAGGAGACACTCAGTAAGAAGATGAAGTGGTTTGCTGAGCTGAAGAGGGTCCAGATGTTTGCAGTGGATCTGACTCTTGATCCTGAAACAGCTCATCCTCGTCTCATCCTGTCTGACGATGGGAAACAAGTGAAACGTGGTGATGTGGAGAAGAAGCTTCCAAACAACCCAGAGAGGTTTTCTAATCGGTTATGTGTTTTAACAAAGCAGAGTTTCTCTTCAGGCAGATTCTACTTTGAGGTTCAGGTTGAAGGAAAGACTGACTGGTTTTTAGGAGTGAACAGAGAGTCAGTCAACAGGAAGAGATTCATCCCACCGAGTCCTCAGAATGGTTACTGGATCACACGTTTGATAAATGGAAATGAATACAAAGCTCTTGATGATCCTCCAGTTGTTCTCTCTCTGACGTCTGGTCCTCAGAAGGTGGGGGTGTTTGTGGACTATGAGGAGGGTGTGGTCTCCTTTTATGACGTAGAAGCTGCAACTCTCATCTACTCCTTCACTGGCTGCTCCTTCACTGAGAAGCTCTTCCCGTTCTTCAGTCCTGGTTATAATGACGATGGTAGAAACTCTGCTCCTCTGATCATCTCTCCTGTCGGAGTAAATTAATCATTCTCTGATTTCATGTGATGATTTTATTCATTAAAGGGAATAAATGTACATATTTTATATAAATACTGTATGTTTTTCTCTTTATTTCTGTATCATGACCCTTATGGAGAATATCTATTTCAACCTTTTGAATCCAGACTGTTTTATTTTCACTAAATATCCAAAGCTGAAGTTTGACTTTGAGTAAATCAGCAAAACAAATTATATCTGATGTGAAGCCTCTGAAAACATATTGTTGAATATTTAATATTCTCATAAACGCCTCTGACCTTTCCATCATGTTCACAGAATACACTTTGTGTTGTTGTTATTGTGCATGAAAGTAATAATATAGATGCAAATGTTCTTTTTGTTGTGACTTTGGCTCATTTTTATTTGTTTTGTGAAAATGTTTAAGATGACAAATAAAGATAAGTGATTGTAAACAAAGAAACATACATTTATACCTTATAAATAACTTGAACACTGACAAGAAATGACAAGTTTACACAAGTTATATTCTATGAAAAATGAATTATTCCCTGAGGCTCTTTCACAAACTGAAGAGGTTTATTCAGAAGCATAATGCTGATATATTCTTACATTTATCAAGTTACTCTCATACTGCATAAAAGGTCAATGGACAAAGTGAATTAATAATATAGATGCAAATGTTCTTTTGGTGTGAAAAGTGGTTTGAATTATTTAAAGTCACTTTGGCTCATTTTGATTTGTTTTGTGAATATTTGTAATAAGACTTAAAAATAACGATGAGTGATTGTTGAAAAAAAGGAAACATACATCTCTTGAACAAGTTACTTTTGCCTCATAAATAACTTGAACTGAACACTGAACAGAAATGACGGGTTTACACAAGTTATATTTATATTCATGTTAATTAAAAACGTCTTGTTTAATGCAGGAAACATGTCCGAGTTCTTTGTTTATTGATCACGTGACAATTCGTCAGTGTGAACGACACGAGTTCCACAGAAAGATCAATTCTAACGTGAGTTAATACACGAGGTTGATGAAACTGTTCAGTGGCTTCAGATACTGAGGAGAATCCACTCGACTGAGAACCAGCAGCAGAATAATAACCAAATACAACTGTAATTATACACAAACGTTGATCCACAGTTTTCCTGCTGTAGTAACAAAGTATTTATTTGGTGCTGGAGAGCAAAACCATGAACTTAAATGATGTAACAAGAGTTTAGCAGCTGAGCTGTAGTTGTTGGAGCTGCACAGGCTGTTATTCATGAAGCAGCTTCATGAGTTTATGACGTCATACCTGTTTGTCTCCTTGATGACACGTGCACAGCGACTGGACCACGTGGAGGACGCGTGACCTCCTTTAGATACAAGATCACCTCACGAGACAACTTCAGAGTTCCTTCACGTTTCTTTTTATTGTCCTAAAGAGGGTCGTCCTCTTTAAAATGACTAAACAAAACATTTATCACTTTTTAAAAGTCGAGAACGAACAGAAAGACCACCGATGATAAAGAAAAACACACAATAAATACTTTGAAGCATCCGAGCAAAGAGAAGATTCCTGTTTGTGATCTCATGAGAAGCAGGAAGACGGTCGGTACCAACACGTCAGACGGTGTAACCCGGGTACATGAGGCTGTCAGCACGTGTGCTGCACCACCCAGAAGGAAGGAGCCCCTTCACGGTAACACGCTCCACCTGCAGAGTGCACGCCTACGTCATGACCCAGAGACTCTGAACGCCACAAAACGGGTCGTTCAGGTTAAAAAGAACTAAACATCACTGTCATGGATGAACCAGGAGTAAAGAAACGAGTTCCCCTTCAGGAAGTGATGGACGGCGGCCCGGAGTGATGGAGGCCGAGGCGTCGGGGGGGACGTCTTGGAAGGTCCAGATGATGAAGGTGAGGGTGAGGGGGGGGGTCGTCTCCTCCTGGTCCTCTCATTCTATATCGTCCTCGCTCAGACTCACGATGCGCTGCAGGAGCAGAACTATGCGTCTCAATCGTATCCCAGCACCAACATGCCAGCTACCACAAGCCTACGCTCAGCTGCCAGCAGCAGAAGGTCAGTTACCACACTGTCTGGCGTCCGGACCAACACCAGCAATCCACTGACTCACTCACACGCTGATGCAGATACCTGCTCACAACAAATTGAAAACTCCTCAAAACGCTGTAACAGCAAAAGTGAAAGAAAGGGGCCTGAATCCAGCCGTCAGAAGATTACGTAACCATGAACCTTTCAAAGCGGTCCATCCTGCCCGTGTGCTGTGGGATACACATGCAAGACCTAATAATGCCAAATAACAGCTGCCAAATAACAGCTGAGCGCTGGTCCGCCTTCTCTCTCTGCTTCTGTACTTCACCGCTGTTGTTTGTCATTATTTAAGAGGGAGGAAGAAAGAACCAGGTCTTCCTTTGTTGACTCTCGTACATAAACGAGTGTTTCTATCCAGTGAAGCTCGTGTAACTCGAGTCCATCGGTGAAACGGTAACGTGGTCTGCTCTGTTCGCCCCCTGCAGGCCAGAGAGGATCCCGGCATGTCCCGCAAAGTAGCCGTGACCCAGTAGGTTTTTCTGTCTGTCCAGTTCAGAGTGGATGAACGACCAGAACTTTGACTTTTCTTTACTTCGCAGACGCAAAGTCCATCCCCAGAAGACCAGCGTGAACGCCTACGTGGTGTAAACAAGCGCTCCGTGTTTGTGGGGAATCTGTCATTCGGTGAGTCTCTCTCTGATTGGATGTCGGACCCTTGTGTCTGAAGTCAGAGTGTAACCTGCTGTGTGTGTGTGTGTGTGTGTGTGTGTGTGTGTGTGTGTGTGTGTGTGTTTAGAGATGAACGAACTGGCCTTCCGGCAGACCATCTGCCGGTGTTTGCAATCTACAGCGGTGCACCTAGGTTGGCTGAAAAGAATGAAATGATAGAAAGGAGATTAAGAACGGTTGACAATCTAAACAAGTTCAGAAATGAATTAAGTGCACAAAACTGGAGAAAGGTTTATGAGGCAGAGGAGGTTGATTATGCTTATGATTCCTTCCTGCAAACTTTTCTGATGTTATATGACAGATGCTGTCCAATTCAGCAAAGCAGAAAACGAGCAAATCGCTCAGATAAACCTTGGCTTACAAAGGGTCTGTTGAACGCCTGTAAAAAGAAGAACTTCTTATATAAAGAGTTTATCAAGAATAGAAATAAGGAGAAAGAAATGAAGTATAAAAGATATAAAAATAAATTAACTGATATTATGCGAAATTGTAAAAAGGATTATTATTGTAAACTACTAGATAAAAATAAAAATAATATAAAGGAAACATGGAAGATCTTAAATTCAATTATTAGAAATCGACCAGCTCTGGATTGCCAGAAGAAATTCTAGATAATGATTAGATTATTAATGACAAAAAGGAGATGGTAGAAGGCTTCAATAAATTCTTTGTAAATGTCCCTGAACTAGAAGAGCAGATAAACCTTCCGCAAGGGGGATGTGTAGCACATTATTTGGGCAAGAGGAACCCAGATACTATCTTTCTGAAGGACACCGATAAAAATGAAATTATTGCCATAGTTAATAACTTTAAAAAAAAAACATCAAGAGACTGGAATGGTATTGATATGACAATAGTAAAAGAAGTCATTATTAATATAGCAGCTCCCTTAGCACATATCTGTAATGTTTCACTTCAAACGGGCTTCTTTCCAACCAAAATGAAAACTGCTAAGGCAATTCCGATTTTCAAAGAAGGTGAAAAAAACCTTTACAATAACTACAGACCAGTCTCCCTGCTTTCCCAATTTTCCAAAATTTTGGAAAAAATATTTGCTACAAGGATGGACAGTTTCATAGATAAACATGGATTACTCATAGATAGTCAATATGGTTTTAGGCCAAACCGATCAACATCATTGGCACTCATGGACTTAGTAGAAGAACTGACAAGCACAATAGATAACAAAAAGATGGCAATAGGGGTCTTCATAGATCTGAAGAAGGCCTTTGACACAATAAACCATGACATACTGCTACACAAACTGGAAAGCTATGGGATCAGAGGGGTTGGACTAAATTGGGTACAAAATTACATTGGACAAAGAAAACAGTTTGTACAGATAGGGGATAAGAAGTCCACCTTAAGAAATATTACCTGTGCCGCAAGGATCAATACTGGATCCAAAACTATTTATTATTTATATAAATTACATAAGTAATGCTTCCAGGATCCTGAAAAATGTTATTTTTGCAGATGACACAAATGTATTCTGTGAAGGAGGGAACCTCGAACAGTTGTTGGAGGCGGTCTCGACTGAGTTAACCAAGCTGAAATTGTGGTTTGATATAAATAGATTATCACTTAATGTAAAGAAAACCAGATTTATGGTCTTTGGTAAAAGTAACACACAAGCAAACACACACATTGAACTAAAGATCGATAATATAAAAATCGAAAGGGTGTTTGAATACTCCTTTCTAGGTGTAATGATAGACCACAAGCTCAGCGGAGGCCACAGGTCACTCGTGTACAATCAAAATTGGCACGATGTGTAGGGATACTAGTCAGAGTCAGACATATATTGAATATACAATCACTGCATACACTGTACTGTACACTGTTTGCCCCCTATTTGAGTTACTGTGTGGAAGTGTGGGGTAATACCTACAAAAGCACCCTACAGGCAATATGCACAATTTTAAAAAAAGCAATACGGATAGTTAATAAGGTGGGGTACTATGAACACACAAACACATTATTTCTGAAATTAAATATATTAAAATTTATGGACTTAAAAGATTTTAAAACGTTACAGATTGTATTTAAAGCAAGAAACAGCCTACTCTCAGGAAACATTCAAAGTTGGTTTAGCGACAGACTAGGAGACTATAATTTAAGAGGGAGACTGAAACTGAGGCAACCAAAGGTGCACTCTACACTCAAAAGCAGGTGCATATCGGTCTGTGGGGTGAAGTTGTGGAACAACTTACCAGATAAGATCAAAGATTGTAAACATATTGCACAGTTCAAAAAACATCTTAAATTATACACATTAGCCAAATATGAGATCTGTGCAAATATACAATGACGGAAATTTAAATTGTATTTATCTTTGCGTGTGAGTATGCGTGCGTGTGTGTGGGTGAGAGAGTGTGTGTAAGAGAGTGTGTGTATGTATGTATGATATCAATCTTCAAAGTAATATATACTAATTGAGAATATGGATAAGATAGGGGTGGGTATCTATACGCTTTTGCTTCCCTCTACTCCTTTTCTTGAACAAAAGGTGACTTTTCTAATTTTGTGGTCTATGTCTATGTTGATTTTTAAATTTTTTATTTTTTAATGTCTACATGTTCAAGAAATAAAATGCGTCAAATCACAATCAAATCACTTTGAGGACTGTGGCAAAGTGGAGGCCGTACGACTGGTGCGGGACCAGGACTCTGGATTCGGGAAAGGATTCGGCTACGTCCTGTTTGAGGTACGGCGACCCGGGCGGCGCCTTTTCCTGTTCCAGCTCTTCTTCTCTCGATGTCACGGCGGGTTTCACGTGGGACTTTCTCTGTCGGTCTCTCCACTGCAGAGCTCCGACCCCGTGCAGCTGGCGCTGGAACTGGACGGCACAAAACTGGACGGCAGACCCCTCCGGGTGAGGAGGGCGGAGAAACAGGCGAATAAAGGTGGCGGCAGGAGGAGGAGCGGCAAGGGCCCCGTGAAGGGCCCCGTGAAGGGCCCCGTGTCCCGTCAGGAGAGAGCAGGCCGGAAGAATTTCACCGGAAACCAGCAGAATCCGACCAAGAGCTCCACCTCGTTCAGAGGAGAGATGGTGGATCCGAACAAAAAGAGCCAAAAGAAAGTACTGAAGAAGAAGAGGAGGCCGAAGCCCAAAAAGAGAGTTCATATCTGATATGCGATCTACATCTCGTAGAAACAGAAAAGGTGTGAGGACGAATCAAAAGTCAAAGGATGAACCAAAAGGAATGAATGACCATCGTTGATGTGGATTCGTGCCACGTGCGCATTTGGAGAGGTTACGTCCGCACAACTAAAGACACAATCCAGAGGACAGACGAGTCATTTCAGCTCTGGATGTTTTTCTGATTGACTCACATTTAATTGTTAGCTTCATATTTAACACGGATGTGCTAGTTATTGATCTTCTCTTCTGTAACTTTCTGTGAGAAAATCAATAAACACGTTTCTTTATATGTTATTATTATTATTGATGCTGCGTTCACATTTTAATAAAAATGCTTAAAACCTGTAAGTTCACTGGAACAAGTAACTAAGCAGTTTAAATTGAATCTGAGCTAAAAGGTATGACAGTATTTTATGAAAATGTTCAGTTATGAAAACCTCACTGCAGCCACCAAGTGACACCTACAGTTTAACTGCATTTCATAACATTTTCACCTTTTAATGAGTTCAGATTAATTAAACGAACGTAAGTGACTCATGTCCTCAGAAGACTCTGAGCTGCGTATGAGAGGGACACCAGGGACAAATATTATGAGGCTCACGTGACTGACTGGAGGCAAAAAGCATCACGACTCCAGCAGTCAGCATGAATCAGAGGAGGAAACAAACCTCACCTGCTGATGACGCTCCAGTAGGAGGCGGAGCTACACGGAGGGGCGGAGCTTCGACGTCACTCTCCAGAAATGAAAGTTCGTTGGTCAGAGAGGCAGACGCGCTGCAGTGAAGACAAGTCTCCGTGTTTCTCTGAGAGAAAAGTCAAAGTGACGTCATCAGGTGTTCCTCAGCAACACAGCAGAGTCTCTTCAGAACACTGGTGAGTACAGCTGGTCACATTTACACCTTCAACAAGCAGGAAGAACACACAACTTGTACTTTACTCAGGCAGGAAGTTCCTCTCTGTTCACTTCCTACTTGATAGAATGTTAACAATAAAACCACGTGTGTTTATCCACAGTCCCACGATACAGTAACTCAGTCTAACAGCTTCAAACTGTCCAGGACTTCAGTCACTTGGGGCTGAATCTCTGTGCTTTAAACTTTAGTGTCTCTCTGTTTCCTGATCCCTTCCTCTGTTACCTGATCCCTTCCTCTGTTACCTGATCCCTTCCTCTGTTTCCTCTTGGTGGATCAAGTTAAACGTGTTCCACAGTGAACCTGCTGGAGGCTTTTAGTGTGAGTCATCTAATGAGACGCTACGTGTTTGTCACAAGTAAGCAGAGCGTTGTTAGCGTGCTGCTCTTTATTCACAGCATGTGGACACATTCTGGACTGGTTTCAAAATAAAACTATTCATAAAACTATTTTAAATAAAACGTTTTTCTTCTCTTCCACAACATGTGTAGACATGGCTTCTGCAAACTATGGTCCATCTGAAGATCAGTTCCTGTGCTCCATCTGTCTGGATGTGTTCACTGATCCAGTCACCACACCATGTGGACACAACTTCTGCATAAACTGCATCAATGAACACTGGAACACCAGCGACCAGAACCTGTGTCCAATGTGTAAGAAGGACTTCACCACCAGACCTGATTTGAGGGTCAACACCTTCATCTCTGAGATGGTTGTTCAGTTCAGACAGTCCGCTCAGCAGAAAGCCAGCAGCAGCAGCTCAGAGCAACAAGAGTCCAAACCAGGAGAAGTTCCCTGTGACGTCTGCACTGGAACCAAAGTGAAGGCCCTCAAGTCCTGCCTTGTGTGTCTGTTCTCCTACTGTGAGACTCACCTGGAGCCTCATCTGACAGTTTCACGCCTGAAGAGACATCAGCTGATGGACCCTGTGGAGAACCTGGAAGGCAGGATGTGTACGAAGCACGATAAACCTCTGGAGCTGTTCTGTAAGAGCGACCAGACGTGTGTCTGCGCGCTCTGCACTGTTTTAGACCACAAGATGCATGATGTTGTTCCTCTGAAAGAAGAATATGAAGAAAAGAAGGTTGAGCTGAAGAAGACAGAGGCTGAAATCCAGCAGATGATCCAGAAGAGAAGACTGAAGATTCAGGAGATCAAACACTCGGTCGACCTCAGTGAGGAAGATGCAGGCAGAGAGAAAGCAGAAGGTGTTCAGGTCTTCACTGATCTGATGGAGTCTGTTGAAAGAGGCTTGAAGGAGCTCCTCAATACAATAGAAGAGAAGCAGGAAACCACAAAGAAACAGGCTGAAGCTTTCATCAGAGAGCTGGAAGAGGAAATCTCTGAGCTGATGAAGAGGAGCGCTGAGGTGGAGCAGCTGTCTCTCTCTGAAGACCACCTCCATCTTCTCCAGTCCTCAAACATCCATCAGCCACCACCCACTAAGGACTGGACAGAGGTCAGTGTTTGTCCTTCATATGAGGGGACTGTGGTGAGAGCTGTGTCTCAGCTGGAGGAGACACTCAGTAAGAAGATGAAGAAGTGGTTTGCTGAGCTGAAGAGGGTCCAGATGTTTGCAGTGGATCTGACTCTTGATCCTGAAACAGCTCATCCTCGTCTCATCCTGTCTGACGATGGGAAACAAGTGAAACACCTTGATGTGAAGAAGAAGCTTCCAAACAACCCAGAGAGGTTTTCTAATCGGTTATGTGTTTTAACAAAGCAGAGTTTCTCTTCAGGCAGATTCTACTTTGAGGTTCAGGTTGAAGGAAAGACTGAGTGGGATTTAGGAGTGATCAGAGAGTCAGTCAACAGGAAGGGATTCATCTCACTCTCCAGTCTACTGAGTCCTCAGGATGGTTACTGGATCATATGTTTGACATATGGAAATGAATACAAAGCTCTTGATGATCCTCCAGTTGTTCTCTCTGTGAAGTCTGGTCCTCAGAAGGTGGGGGTGTTTGTGGACTATGAGGAGGGTGTGGTCTCCTTTTATGACGTAGAAGCTGCAGCTCTCATCTACTCCTTCACTGGCTGCTCCTTCACTGAGAAGCTCTTCCCGTTCTTCTGTCCTGGGTATTCTATCTTTGGTAGAAACTCTGCTCCTCTGATCATCTCTCCTGTCGGAGTAAATTAATCATTCTCTGATTTCATGTGATCATTTTATTAATTAAAGGGAATAAATGTACATATTTTATATAAATACTATATGTTTTTCTCTTTATTTCTGTATCATGACCCTTATGGAGAATATCTATTTCAACCTTTTGAATCCAGACTGTTTTATTTTCACTAAATATCCAAAGCTGAAGTTTGACTTTGAGTAAATCAGCAAAACAAATTATATCTGATGTGAAGCCTCTGAAAACATATAGTTGAATATTTAATATTCTCATGAACGCCTCTGACCTTTCCATCATGTTCACAGAATACACTTTGTGTTATTGTTATTGTGCATGAAAGTGAATTAATAATATAGATGCAAATGTTCTTTTTGTTGTCACTATGGCTCATTATGATTTGTTTTGTGAAAATGTTTAAGATGACTTATAAATAAAGATAAGTGATTGTAAACAAAGAAACATACATTTATACCTTATAAATAGATTGAACACTGACAAGAAATGACAAGTTTACACAAGTTACTTTTGCCTCATAAATAACTTGAACTGAACACTGAACAGAAATGACGGGTTTACACAAGTTACATTTATATTCATGTTAATTAAAAACGTCTTGTTTAATGCAGGAAA